TTACAACATTTTTTTTATATGATATTAAGTTATGTTCTTATATAGCAATTTTATATATATATTCATTCTAAAGGAAAAATTATGGTAAATATAGTGTCTATTTAGCTCTACATTGGTATAGGATGGCTGTATTATCGAAATTATTAGATTACAATTCCGACCTAATCATTTACAAAAATAAAGTATAAATAATATAATAAATATAAAAAAAATACCTTTTTAACCATTTTAACAGATTTTAGGGCAGTTTACATTTTATAAATTAAAATATTCTTTTGATTTTTTTTTGTAAATTTATAGAGTTGACTTCTCTAAGATTAATCAAAAAATTTGACCAATTAGCAATGCCTTTAACTTTGTTTTATGGGAGAAAACTTTTAACATAAATAGTGAAATGTATTTATAACATTTTTTACCATTCCTACATTTTGTTTTGTGGTCACATACAGATATAATCAATTATAATATTGTGAAACTTTCCCCTAATTATGATTTATATTTATGGCTCCCGAACCATTATAAATGGGTTTATTACTGTGTATATTTCCATTTAAGAAACTATTTTAAATTTGCATTTTGGAATTTATATATATCGGATAGCGCAAAGAAGATGACTTGCAAATGGTTTAACCGATTAATTTAATTTATATATCTTACTTAAAATAAAAATACATATTCAAAGATATTAACAAGAAATTTCTTACAGATCAATTTATTTCTTTAATCATAAAAATAAGTAACTGCAACATAGGATTTCGAATATAAGATAATATTTATCCAGGGGCTTACGCAAAGGTGTGGAAACCCCACCCCTTTCATGGCAAAATCCACATGCCGGCTAAAATATTGTTCAACATTCCAATTTACATTTATTGATTCACATCCTCAGCAGAAATAAATACGCCTACTAATTTATTCTATGAATTAATATCGATTTCAAATATTTTCCTAGGTATTATAATTATCTACCATTTGAAAAGTCTCTCAAATCATTCGAAACTTTTCACTGCAAAACTAAAGTTAAATATTTGAAAAAATTGCATTTGATTGAATAGCTGAAAGCATTATTTTGGTACTTAATGAAATTAAGGCAAATTCAGTTGAAGAATTTCATAAATTATATGTCATTGTTGAGACAAATCGAACTCTGTGGAAATCAATATTAATTCACCCCGACTCTCAGCAAGTCTAGCCTATCGTTCCGATATTAACATAGGGTCCACCGAAGAATGCTAAAAAATAAATCTCTTTATCCCCCTCTTGAATACTTTTACAACTAAAATGAATGAATGGCTCATCAGGCAGCCATTTCTACAAATATTACCGCAAAATATGCCTACTATTACCGCAGAATCCTTCTAAATCTATTTCACCTGACAGGAAAATAATGAAATATTTGGCGGATTTTTACTGTGAGGATGTTAAAGTATCCTGACGCATTGCTAGCTAAATTTAAACTATGTAGGTTAACTCACCAACTTTACATCCTCAAAAATATAAATCTTTTTGGACAAACCATTTAGATAAAGATCCAGTTATTTACCATTTCTTTCCGTTTAAAATTTGGTTATTTCTAACTAATCTTAATCGTATCCCAATCAGTCTTGCACTTTGGTAAACAGAGTGAAAGTGCTGTGATCGAGTGGTCATAATTTATATTATTTGATTTTATTAATTTTAAGAGTCGCGGGTAAATTGAACTATAAATTTACTTAATTCAATCATTATAATAAAATATATTCACTTAAATTAAAATAGATACGAATGGAATTATAATAATCATTAATCATTGAAAAAAAAAATTTTGTATAATTTAGATCCACTAAATAAATTTAAAAACAATTAGCTGTAAAGATATAAAAAAAATTATAGGCGTTTGACTCTTTCCTTCCATCTGCCATATAATTGATGGTGGCCCCTAATCAAAAATAAGGTAGGCGTTAGAAATGTTTATTTTGGGAAAATATCGTTACTCCTTTCAAATTAATCAACATTTGCTCTTTTTTTTTGACAAATGAAGTTTATAACTGTCATAATCCATGAGTAATCCACTCATAATCTCAACATTTATTTCATTCTCTGCCCATCATCTCCTTTATCCACTGGGATATTATCTTATCATGAAATTGAGGCTCTCTCAACAAATCGTAGATCGATCTCAAATTCCTCTTTAAAAAGCTCCTTAATTTTTTTAATATGGAAGATTCAATTCATCAATATCATTTTTTTTTCAAATCGGTTTGTCTCATATTTCTTAAATTTAATATTCTTGAAATATATTTTATAAAAGCTCGGCATAGTAATACAGGTGTATTTGAGCATTGTGCTAATAACCTTAAATCAATGCTATTGATAGAATAAAAATGCAATATTATATTTTTAAGTTTAGGGAATCAATTTTCTTTATATTTACAGTAAGATGTCATCAGGGACGAGGAGCGAACCAGAATGTACTGCTAAACCATTATAAACTTTTATAAATATCTGAACCGAATCGATATAATTATTTGAAGGAGTAAAAAGAACTTTTATAAAAAAATTAAACCGGTTTCAGATAAAAACCAAAATAACATTATGTAATCCAAAAGATTTTGCACATAGCTGGTAGAAATGCTTGGACATCTATTTGTCAAATCTCAATGCTTACAATATACTATTTTAGCTATAATCTTATTCGGGCTATTTTAAAAAATAAACCCTAATCTTTTTAAACACTACAAAATAAAATAAATAAATTTACACTTTATTAAATTCTTTTCCTTGTGGGTGTATTACATATTTTACCATATCTGCGTCGTTATTTATAATTATTAAATGATCAAAATATTTGTTTAAAAATCCATAAGAAGTTTATATTAATTTTTCACTATGACTTAAATCTTGAATTGATCCACAATCATTTACTACTTCATATAGAATTCTTATTTCCTATATTTTAATATGCAAAATATCTAAACAAACCAATTTTTGATTTAGTTGTATTTAATTACTCTAAAAAATTATTAGTTTTTATAAATTGGGAATCAAAGAAATTTTAACATCCAAAATTATATAAACTTGCGGTTCCCGCAACATAAGTTTTTGTTAAAATATGGGGACTAAAATTTGTGTTAACGCCATAACGAACAAATATGAATCCACTTAGATAAAAAAATATATTTACGTTCAAAGAATATATTTAGAAATGAGTTATCATTCTTATATATTATTCTAATTGATGGCAAAAATTTTAATAAATAATATTTTTAATTAAAATATTATTTACGATGATATTGCTTCAATAAAAATAATTTAGAAAAAAATTTGTAATCGTAGTGAACCTTTTACAATTAGCTGAACCAGACCGAAACTTTTTAAATTTTTCTTAAGAACAATAACCATTATAATTTTCTGCATACTGAACCGTAACCAAACTGAACTGTTATAAATAAAGGGGGTTCATAAGTGATGAATTTTGATAATTATTATTTTTAGTTGAATTCACGATTTATGGGGAAAAAAATACTTGATCTAACTCAAGTTTTTTTATTTCCAATGAAACCAGAACTTTTCTTAATTCCAAACTCGATTTTTTGATCAAGTAATAACTCCAGCAATAATTAGTCTATTTTAAAAAAATTTATATATAATTTCGTTTTTACTTCTATCAAAGTGTTTAGATATTTTGGACACTGCTTATCCTTTGACTCAATTAAATGAAGCTAAGATCAATAGATCTATTATTGGTACTATGAGGAAATTTTGTTTATCTGAAATCTATCCTAAATAAAATTTAATATTTTTTTTAAAATAATTATTTATTCTTGAAAATGTTTTAAAAATTATTTTGTAAAAATATCTGATGCAACAATTTGTAAAATTTAAATAAATAAATTTTTTGTGCTGATCCTCCTTACCCATACTTGTGTTTTTATTATTCCAATCAATCCATTCATTGGATTTCACTACTAAATGCTTCCCATTCTACACTTTATTATATAATTAGAAAAATTCTAATCTACTCTCTTCCCTAGACTTTTAATGGTTCCTTTCTTTTTATCACCGGCCTTCTGTTCAACTTATTGCATGTCTCACATATTCTACTTAATTTTTTATCTCATTCATTCCTGACCATCATGCATGCCTAAATAATATTTAGATGTATTTTAGATATAAAAAATTAAGCTTTTTTTTGGCCGCCAAAATTTATAATTAATTAGGCAGCTCTTTAAAAACTCCAATTTACAAGAAAATTTGAATCAAAATTAGTATAAAAGAAAGTAATTTTAAATAGGAAAAAATGGTAATCAAAATTAGTTTTGTTAAAATACAACTTTGAACACGAGTTGGAGTCATAAAATACGAGTTTAAATTGAAAGGCTCAATGAGACGTATGAGTTGGTTTCAAAGCCGGCTCATTTATTTTGAATCGATCTACTATTACTACTCCACAAGAAATATTAAAAATATTGAGCCGCTCTAACTTGAATAGAACACTAATCAAAATCAATGTAAAGGCACGAAAATTTTTACGCCTGCTAACCCCGTTTGCACAGCCATAGACGTAGTCCCTTTTATAATTATAATCAATATTTTTCAAAACATTTATAAGCGCGGCATTAAAGAGTTATTATTTATTAGTTCATTTTTACCAAGAAATTGAGTGTTTATACTAAATAAAATGAAATTTACAACTTATATTTGCTTAATCCAGCTTTCTAGAATGTGATAAAAGCATGTCAACCAGTGACTTCCGCTTAATGTTAAAGATAGAAAAACAAAAATCGAGTTCCGAAAGTTTTGCACATTAAATAAGTTTAATAGTTGAAATTCGGAATAATTTTCTTATATTTATAGATGAGTAAATGATTTCTCAGAAGGTAGAAAGGTTGGTAAATTCTTAATCTTTGAGTAATTATGTGGTACTAGTAAATATAGATTTTAAAAAATTGCTAGAGCATCTAAGGATTTCTAGACCAAAGAGTACAAAACATTTTATGTGTCATTTATTTTTACATTTTTTATAAAAAATAGATATATAATTGAACAAAAAAAATTGTATCCTTTAATATTCATATAATAAAATATACATCATTTACAAAATACATAAATGATAATATACATAAAAATCATGCAATCAGGAATTTAGTGTGAGGAAATGTTATGATGCATTAAAACAGTTTTATCATTTGGTTTGGATACGGATCATGTTTATAGTTCATCTTTGATTTCCTAAAAATAGATATTAATAATATATAATGTGAAAATAGGTTTATTCATTGATAATGTTTATCAGATGTGCCAATAGTACTTTTAGCCGTATCAGCTGATAACGATACCAATTATGTTATTATTGTGTTGGGGAAAAAAGCAGATTAATACATCAATATTATTATTTTTTGTCTATAATTTATAATAGTAAAACATTTTACTTTTTTTTTAAAAGTGAAATAAATGGAAATAAGAATTAGCACCCTTTATTAAAGGTTTAACATTTTTTTCATAGATTTACATGCTTAATGTCGGCTAATACTTTTTTTTAATTTATGAGGGTTAATTATTTTAGGATATCGATGAAAAGTATCGACAGATACCAATAAAATATCGATCGATACAGATATTATGTATTGGTGTATCTCTTATGTCTGGTAATCTATAAAAAAAAATAGATTACGCTATCAGGAGACTCTTTTTTAGTTGTTTCTTGTTCGTTTACATCTTCCTCGTCTTTATCGCCGCCGTCTTCCTTAGAGTCGCTCTCTTCCTCCTCTTCTTCATCGACGTCAAAGTGTTCCTCGGGCTCAACCTTTGAATAATATTTTTTTAGTAATATAAAATAATGAGATAAAATATAATAGTTATATTCTGCGCGATGCTTTAAGTGCATATGATTTATGGAATGGAATTGCTACTCCTCCATATACCATACAAAACAAATAAAGAGGTGGTGACAGAATCTGCTTAAAAATGGTGACATGGCTCAGAAAAGTGGCTAACGTAATTAAAATAGAGCGCACCCAAAAAAAATGATTAATGGGTGAACCCGAGTTTAAAGGATAAAGATTGTTAAGACAAACCTTTGGAAAATAGGGACCCACCTTAAACCCGATGGATAAATTTATTTTTCAAAATAACATTGTCAGCACCATTTCCTAGTTTCGGATGTAGGAATATTAAAATACCACCCCTTAAACTAGGGTTGGCAAAATTTTTGATTACTTTAAACAATTAAATTCAAATACCAGTTGCAATGTACTGTCAAAGGTAGACATAAAATATCGATCTTTCAATTTTTACATCTAAATTTTGGATGCTATCAATGATAATTCACATATAAAATTTTTAAAAACAAATAGAATATCTTTTTTTAAATTGTATTTTTATTATTCTAATTTATAATGATTAAATTATTTTTATGGTAAATGCTAAATATAGTAAAATAAATTTTAAAAATGCTGATGTTTCTATTATTTTTACTAAATTTTATAAGATTTTATTTTCCTAAACTGCAAACTCTGAACCCTGTTTTTTTAGAATATTAATTCCTCACTACATTGAGAATAGAATTATACGATTGCCAATTAATTGTCGAAAATTGAAACAATGAAATATAAATAAGGTATTTTTTTTATTTAATACGTAATAATTAATAGTACAATTTGGTAGTTTTTATATAAAATTACTTATTTATGTCCTTGCCTTTCTTTATATTAAGTAAAATATAAATTAGGTATTTTTTTTATCTAATAAATCATTACTAGCATTGGTAGTTTTCATATAAAAATTACTTAATTAGAAAATAATCTGTCCTTGCCTTTCTTCATATTAAGTATTTTGATCCAATTTAGTAAATAGAATTTTATTTAAAATTTCGATTAAAATCGCTGATTTTTTCTTAAAATCAAATTGGTTTTTATTGACCAACCCTACCTTAAAACTTAATTATTGCCATGGTCTAATTTTTAAATTTCCTCTTTAATATAAAATATTATTTTTCTAATTTCGCATGTAGAAATAGTAAAATACTACCCCTCAAACCCTAATTATGATTGCTACCTGTAGGTTAGATCTATTATATTATTCTCATAGTTATAATTTATTCCTTAATTATGTAGAATGAAATTTATCTAAGACAGGGAAAGCTATTTAAATATAATCGGCTAAATCATTTCTATATTTCCCAATTAAAATGACAAAATGACCACAATTAGTAATTTACATATTCGCCTTCTTCCACACGCAAACACATCATATTTTAAATATTTTTCGTTACTTCAGAGTCAGCCAAGTTGAAGGTCATTTTCATCATTTTCTCGACACGATTTGAATATCCTTTGGTATCGGCCAAGTTATAACCGGACCTCAGAGTGGCCGTTTCGAAAAGCACCAAGGCTATATCTTTGGCAAGTTCGTCCTCTTTGTCTTCCTGTTATATTCAAATGCTTTTTAATGATTCAATATATAATTTATATTTTTCTATTCATTAATTTATACGGGTGCGAGTTTTTAATGAAATAACTTATATGAAAATCCTGAAATTTTTCAGTAAAATTTAATTTTTTACTTCAACCCTCCTCAATAGTTCTTTGATCAGTGGATGTCTAGGATTGATTTCCAAAGTTTTTTTCATGTTGGCGTAATACCTTATAAAGATAATGATATATTTTATTATACCATGAATATATAATTAATACATAAGTTTTGATTATAATATGAAATAAATTTTTTTTTAAATATCATTCACTCTCTTAAAATATTGATGCTCGTAAAACTTAATTCTAATCTTTCTTTATTAAAATCTGAGCAGTAGTGACATAACAGCTCGGCGCCGTGATAGGTTTATTAAGGGAAATTAAAAACTCGGTATTTGGGTCATTCGTTTTGACGTAAGTGGACGATTTCATCATTCTCTCCATGTTGGCATCCCAGCCGTAGGTTTGCGCCACCAAAACTAGAGGGGAATCGGATAGCCGTTTGGATAATATTACTTTCTCGGCCTATTAGCGCATTTATATTACATTCGAATTAATTAAGTAAGCGGGCATTCGTGTACAAGTATTAGCCCTACATTTTATTAATAAAAGGCGCAATCTATTCCAGAATCGGAGTTCCTTCAACGAGATGCTTCACACGTGCATATAGTATTTATAATCGCGCAAAGGCCCTCCGATCCTGTTTTAATTATTAAAATTAATAAACTGTATCGCTTTAAAATGTAGCAAATTTAGGGCAATAAATAAGAGGTAAAAAATTGTAAAGAAAAGCAAGCTAATATTATAAATTTGATAAAGCAAGCGATATTAGTAGCAACGATTAATTTATAATACGTATGGAAAATAAAATAAAGCGAGTTATATAGATATGTGATGATTGTTTTAAAGGTTAAAAAAAAATATTATAAGAAAGCGGTTAAAAATGCACCATAGATTTTGGACTTATGCGCAGAAAGAGGCTAAAAGCAAGCATTTTTGGTAAGAATCAGGCCATTATAGGAACTACGGCTAAATTCCCTCCTAATATCAGACTGAATGGCAGGATTGGTGGAGCGCAAATTGAGGGAATTTAAAATTCTATTGTTTACCTTATTAACTTTGAATATTAATTGTTTTTACAATTATTGGGAATCAATATTCTTTTTGCTCTGGCATCATAATATGAATATTTGGAAAATAAAAAATAAAAACATGTATAACCTCAATTCTTTTCAGCAACAAAAGTTATCATTATCTATGTAGATATTTGGAATATCTCTTTAAATTCAATTATAGCAGAGTTTTCAAAAAAAATCTCTCTAACTCAATTTCTATCTTTCATATTTTAAGCCAAATTTTAAAAAATATATTTTCGCCCTCAAAATTATCCTTAAAATTGAAAATATCCCAAAATCATAATATGCAATTTTATTCTTGTAGATATGTGGCTAACGAAAGCCGCCTTATTGGATCTTTCACTGTCATTTTTTTATATCCTTATTATTAGTTCGTGAAACCCGCAGCCCAATAAATTTCTCATCTCTCTGGCATATATGATCGTCTCAAGATGCGAAATTCAAATTGTTATTGTTCAGACGCAAATCATAAACTTTGTAGGCGTTTACACTTCCGAGCATTCGACAATAGGCAAGGATAAACTTTCACTCAATAAACGGCACTCTTAAAAGTCAGGATTTTTTTTAAAAAAATGCACGCGCGCTCAATATTTTTTTTTAAACAATGCAAATCCTTATTACTCTGACATGGGGTCGTTTGTTTTAGCGTAGGCGGAAGACTTCATGAGCCTCTCCATGTTACCGCTCCAGCCATAAGTACTAGCCACTAGGGCGCAAGAGGAGGCCGCTAACCTTTGAGAAATTTGAGATTTTTCGATCTATTTTGCACGGAAATTCACAATATTTATAAAATAATCCATTTAAAATTTAGTACTAAATAATGCAACAAATAAAATTGATAAATATTATAAAATGTGTCATTTTTTTTAAATAATGTTTAATCCTTATTTATAAGAAAATGCTTGATTTATCATATAAATGGAGAATTTTTTTTTATACCAGTGTTTAAAGTGTTAAAAGTAGTTAAGAGAAAAAATGATTTTAAGAAATGGTAAGAAATTGACTTGTTAACGGGTTGAAATTTAGGGAAATCCTCTTATAAAAATGAATGCCTAAAGATTAAGTCATATTAAGAAATGTGTAGAGATGTAGAGATTTTTTTTAAAAAAAAACAATTTATAATGATTATAAATTAGCAAATAATGATAGTTTAAATTTGATAGTGACTATTATTTTTTTTGCAAACCTTATCTTTCAAACCGTTTTCCTTAAGCCACGTGGTGAGGGGCTCGAATTTCTTTTCCATCTCCTTTTGTTTCTCATCTCCCTTCTTTCCTTCGTCCAATTTGAGTCCTTCTTTAGCTACGTTCTAATAAAAAAAATTTTTTAAACAAATTTCTTATAACACTGTGAATGCTAGGCCCACCTACGAACCGCATTACGAATGTTGGCATTGACAAATTATAATGCTTATTAGGATTAAACCGTAATAACTCAACTTTCACTTTAAAAATATGGCAACTTGATTTAATACGGTTTTCCCATTTATAATGTTAAAAACCTTTAATGATTTAAAACGTTCAATGTTTGGGGGGGGGGCTCATGTTGCCAAAATTAAAATCTAACAAAATAAAATTTTATATGCCCTTAAGTCGGCTTAATTTGGATACTTTGCTTTTTAGTATAGACTAAAAAGTATCGGATGGAGGACGTATTTTAGTGGCATTGCTATTTTTCGTATATTATTCTCATTTTTTTGTTTTTAAATTTTTTCTTCTATTGAGCCAATACTTAAAAGATGGGTAAATAGCCGGCCATTAAGTATTAAGCTGGACACGACCTTAAATCTGAATATTATTAATTTTTTTTTTCTCACCATAAACTTTTTGCCATCAAATTCTGGCAAAGCTTGAATGCAATACTCGTCGATGGATTCAGTCAAGTAAAGGACTTCGTAACCTTTCTTCAAGAGCCTTTCCACGAAAGGTGAGTTTTTAACCTGTTAAATATCATTGTGGTAAAATAAAAATTGAGAAATGGTACAATATTTTAATAAAACGTATCATCGTAACAAGGTAAATTTCACAACAGAGTTCCAAGTTTGACCAGATTTATTTTAAAATAAAAATACTTAAGCTTAGATGTCTGAAGATTTTTTAAAAGAGAAAGCTCATAGGCTTTTTATGATCAAATTTTACCAAAAATTTATATATTTTGTAAAAATGTTCCACAAGTAAATCTTTTCTGATTTTATGCATTAAAAATTATATCACAATCAAATCACAAATTTTTTTTTAAATCTTCTTCAGGAAAGAATCTCAAATTTTGTGTTCTTCAAGAGATTTTTTCTCATAAAATTTTGGCAAAAAAATCTTCCAGTTTTTGAAGATTTTTTTAAATCTCTAGTTCTAACTGCTCTTCGATCTATTTTACAGCTTAGCGATTTTAAAAGGAAGCGTCACGCCATTTATCGGTTTACCTTTATTATTATTATTATTATCAAACCCCGATTTCAAAAAAAAAATAATTCGGCCTGAGGGCTACGATCCGCTTTGCTTACGCCATTATAATATAAAAATAGGTTTGATAAGGTTGCCATTTAAATGGTACAATATTACGATAATGTTTATCATATGAATGTATGATACCTCGGCCATATTTTGTCCGGCTACGAAATAAATGAACTCCTGCTTGTCCTTCATCCTCTCAACGTAGGAGGATAAGGAAATGGCTTCCGTTTCGTTGTAGGACGAAAAGAACCTGACTAACCTGGCCAAACGATTCCTGTTCGAAGGGTCCTCTACTACGCCCAACTTCATGCTAAATGTAAATAATATTTAAATAAATGTTAGGTGTTTTAGTAGGGTTCCATGATTGATCAGTCCGAAGTCGCCCCGGATTAACTCGGAAATTGGCTTCTGTAGAATAGAATCAACCGTAGTACAGAACCTCCAAACAACATAAAAGTTAATTTTATTAACTAGTGCGTAACCTAAAAAAACCGAACCCCCTTAAAAATAAGGCAACCCAATAATATTAATTTTAGCATGTCATACTTGGTGCTATACTCCTTCCAAAACTTTATAAAGTCCTCGGCACCGAGTTTCTTAATCATATCCAGGACCTTGCGAATAAGTTTTTTCTTGATGACCTTGAGGAGCTTGCTATGCTGAAGCGTTTCGCGGCTCACGTTGAGAGGTAAGTCGTCCGAATCCACGATGCCGATCACGAAAGATAGATATTTTGGCATCATATCGTCAAAGTCGCTCGTGATGAAAACGCGACGAACGTAGAGCTTTATGTGGTCAACCTTTTTACCTGTGTGTTTATTGTCGCAAAGAGAAGAGATGTTTAAAGTTTATGCATACTTTTGGGCAAAAAAATATAATAAATTATGACTTAAGAAATAGTATAATTCTAATGATTCGATATATGCTTTGCTTTCCTATACGGTAATATCTACAAAGATGACCATTTATTACTGATCTTGGCTGATCTCCCACCAAAATTAGCATGTATTCGAATATTTTATATTAAAGAATTTCGGTTTTGGAAATTTTTAAAAAATAGGTTTGTATTTCCGATCCTTAGAGCCATGGTTCTGGCTCTAAACTCTCATAGAATTGGTTATCGCGTTAAAAATGAATTAGTGAAATCTAAATAATCCCATTCACGTAAGGCCAAGAAGAGCCAGTACACTCTCGTTTTAGCGCAAATGTTAGGCAAACCATAAAATAAAAAGTTTCGAAAAATAAATAAATGTATAATAACCTACCGTAATCGGTAAACATGTTAGCGGGAGCCGATTTTCCGATATACAAAATAGATTTGAAGGTAAGTTCGCCTTCCGCGTTGAAGTGTATGTAAGCCAAAGGTTCCTGAGTCTCCTTGGAAATGGCTTTGTAAAATTCTACGTATTCCTCGGATTTTATATCTGCCGGTCTAGAATGATTTATTTTATTAAAAAGAATTTAATATTTATTGGAAGATATCTTTGATTCAACAAAAAATTGAGGCTTGCAACGATATATTAAAAAAAGTGGCTATTCATTATTTCCTCTCTTACATTGCATGATCTTACAAATTATATTTGTTTAAATCTTTAGGAAATTTTAAACAAAAACTGTCACTATTCACAACAATTTAAAAAATAAATTGTTATTGCGTGAGCCAGAAAATATTTTTCTTGACTAGAATGGATTTTAGGTTTTTAAAAAAAATTGAATTATATAGTATTTACAAATAATTCAAAAAATTAATTATTCGCCGAATAATTCGTTATTCGTAAATTTCGAAACGGATATCGAATAATTTTAGATTGCTTACTTAACATTAAAAACATAAATTTAACTTTCTAGTCCAAATAGGCTTAGCTCCGTTCATGATTTTCCAATCCCATACGGTCTTTTCGACAGTTTTGGGGGCTTTTTTTACTTTATCTTCATTCACTTCTTCTACCTAAAAAATAGAATTTTTTTTTAAATTCGAATCTTGATTCGCTTTAAATCTCAAAATAGTCCAAGATATTTATTCCAAAGTTACAAATTATATATCGTTTGGAAGGCAACCTAGAGGTGCGCTTTAAGAAAATGAGAAAGAGAGAAAAAAATCTATTACTACACCGGTTAAAAGGAAAAATATAAATTCGTTTAAAACGTTTGTCAATCGTGAAAATAAAAATTTTAAGTACTTTCGTATCTTCATCATCATCGGGAGACTTCTTATCTACCGTCTCTTCGCCTTCTTTTTCCTCCGGTTTGACAGTTTCCATATCGGGTTCTGGAACCTTTTCCACCTATAAAAAATATATCAAATCAAGAAAGGAAAATCGAAATATTAAACAATTTTTTGGGGGGGATTTTAAGATTCAAAGGATACAACAAAAAGTAATCTCCTTGTTTTTTCATTACCTTTTCTAAGAAATAAAATTTTTCTTTTTTTATAAAACTTATAATAACCATCAGCTAAAAGAAATAGGTAAAATTATCATTGACGGGCCGCGCTCATTTGAACTGGTGTTGTTAAACGGTCAGATTTTTAAAAACGGCCAACCCAGCATTTTAGCACAAAAAAAATACTACAAAAACCTGGAGGTTTTCCTGATCGATGGCAGTAGTGTTGTTAAACAGGCCCGATTAAGATTTTAGCCAAAATAATATTACGTAAACCGGGAGATTTCGCTCATAAATGGGAGAAAGGTTTGTAACCTCTATTTATCAAATCCCTAGGCTTACGTCATTTTGGGCTAAAAAACAAACACCAGATGGCAGATAGGGTTGGATATCTATCAATAAAATCCAGAGGTTTTGAGCTATATTATTTTGGCTATAATCTTAATTTAAAATAGGGTAAATCGTTTTACAACGTCAATTAGAAAAAATATATCCAGTATGACTTACAATCTAAAAATAACAATTTCTTCCCAGCTAATATTTAGTAACTAATTTTATAAATAATAAAAAAAAAATTTAATGATTTTTTATTTACTCCGAGTCTAAAAAAATATTTACGTGATAAGCCACCTTTTTATTTGATGAAAAATTTTTTTTTAAAAAAATGAGGCCAATACATGCTTTTCAAATTTAAAAAAAAAATTATTTAAAAAAATGGTTTCGTTTATTGTCATCTTTTTAAGTAATTTTCTTTGTATAAGTCTTTCATTCTGTTGAGGTATTGATTAACCTCAACATGATTTTATTATCGCATTGGTTTATTTAATTATCAAGCCTAATGGGTTAATGTGTTAAAAACGATCACATTAAGATTAAATAGCTATATTGATTTTGATAATATGTAAATCTATTTGTTAATATAGATTGAATCTTTTTTACTAGTAAAAAAAAAATTGATAATTTTTAAAACAATTTTGTTCAAATGATTTTAAAATTAAAGTAAACCCGTTTAATGCTTTCTTTATTTCTTTCGGTAATATTCAATGGCATTAATACTAACCTATACTGATATCTTATTTGTTAAAAAGTGTTAATACATTAAAGTAAGCCATTGAAAGGCGTATGGACCTAACGACATTAACTAACGCTTATGTGCGTCAATTTGGGTTAATATTATTGTCATTGGTGGTATAGGCCAAACACCCAACATAATGGCCAAAAAAAATGGTATCGTTTAATATCTCTGTTTTATACTAAATATATAATTAAATCATCGAAATTTGATTCAAGCATAATTTAAATGTGACAAGAATGTTATTTTACACTCAAAGGTTTAATAAATTAATAAAAATGCTTACAGATTTCTCGTACAAGTAAATGGGAAAGTTGATAAACTGGCTGTATTTTTTGATCAAATCCCTCAGAGTATTCTCTTCCAAGAAATCCTGCGTTTCTTCCTTCATGTAAAGGCTGAAGAAATAAATTTAAAAATATTCATTTAAAATAAATGCGTGCACAATATAATTTATGTGGCTGAATTAAACAGGATTCAAATTACAAATATTGATTCTGATTGTTCAAATTGATCTAGAAATGGATAACTTATAAATAAAAATCCCCGCTCATCATGTACAACACTATTATCTTTATTTCTTTCCCTTTTCTTTTATTCTTTCTATGTAATCCATTTATTATCATTTTTAGTGCCCTTGTTGCGAGAACCCCCATTTTTAAATCCTTTGCAGCAAAAAATTGTGAACATAAATTTAAAATGCAAAACTTTTGATTTCGAATAAACTCTAATCTCACAACTAGTAATCATTTAAATTAAAAGTAAGCATAGTTTTTGGTTACAAATTCAATATTTCACAATGTTTTTTTAATACCTGACTTGGGTACCCCTTCCAAGAGTGTTTCCTCTGGGATCAGCGGCCACACTGAAACTTTCCGCGTCTGATTCCCAGATATGCTGAGTGTCGTCCATGTTATTTTTACTGACAACGACAACACGGTCAGCAACTAGGAAAGATGCGTAAAATCCCACACCGAATTGACCAATCAGGTCACTGGCCTGATGAGATGATCCATCCGAGAAAGTCTTCAGGAACTCGCTAGTGCCTGAACGAGCTATCGTACCTAAGAAATATATTATTTTTGGTATCAGAGTTTGTATCTAGATATAAAAATGTGGTATCTGTATATATACACTTTTATTAAAAGATCTCTATCTCTACTATTTTAGAGGCTGTATCTAATTTACTTTTTAACTATCACACAATGGATGAAAACATGGTAGATTTTAAATTATATTATTATTTTATTTATATTAATTTAAAAATATGTATCAAATTTTTTAGATTAATATTTATAGGCAATCTCTGAAAATTAATCAAATAATTTAATGTTAGATTTAAATATTTATAGGCAATCTCTGAAAATTAATCAAATAATTTAATGTTAGATTTAAATATTTATATAAGTTTAGCATTCATCAAATTTTGAATAATTTTTTCAAAAATGAATGTCAAAATTTTAATATATTTAATGATTAAAGCAATAACAACCACTTTGTCATCAAGTGGAGTGAATGATAAAAATTTTGAGAACATTTTATTATTAATATCTAAAAATTATTTATAATTATTTAATTAAATATTTTGTTTATAAATTATTTAAATCTAATAATCATTTTAATTATATATTTGTATATAGATGTGATATCAGCTGAACAAATTTTTTAGCTGACTTGTACTATTTGCATCTGGGTTTTATACGCCCAACCTGGATTTTTTAAAAATATATTACATTCATTTTTAATTTTTGTAGCTAACAATGATGATTTATAATATATAGCCTGGTCTGGCCCGGGTAATTTTAAAAAAAAAAGTTTTAGACTTGACCTAGGTTTCTTTAAAAAAATCAAAATAAAATACAGCTGAGCCCATGTATCCGGGTTAAGCTTAGGGCCTGGCCTGTATCTGATTTAGATTGTTTTTGACTATGTATCTATATCTAGATCTATTTTTATATGATGTTTCTGTAGCTATTTGAAAAATATCTTTTTACAACACTGGTAATAATCTTCAATAATTATATATGTGGGGAGGGGGTGGATATTGTTATATTTAATGCAAAGGTCAAATATTTTTTCCCCTCAAGCATATTTAAAAATTTCCACCATTTCATATAATTTTGGCTCTATTCTATTATCTATTATTGTTTTATATAAAATTGAATATATGAGCATATAATTATTGCCAGTTTTATATTTCATTTCAATAGCCAAGGTTTGTAACATATTTTTAGTTTAAAGCATACCCAGCTTGAATTTTTAAATTGCCATCATTTTATGGGCCTTGTGGGTATCAAATTTAATTAAAATGATAATTTTTTAAAAAGCAAAAATTCTTAAAAATTTTCAAATTATGATTTTTTTGCTGTAGTGAAAAAATGGCACTTTTGAAAACAAATATTGCCCCAAATTGGTTGATGTTTAGGTAATTTAAAAGTTAAGGATTAATTGATCCAGAGAAAGGACTTTAGATGGGAAATTAAACTTTTGTAGTAAAAGTACAAATAGATATAAAAATGGAATGTTATAAAATAATTATATTTTATTTGAAAACCTAAAAAATAAACTTAGTAACATGAAAGGTTAGTCATTGTTTGCTATAAGCATATAATAACACAAAGGCATTCATGTATTGTAATTTACAAAATTGATAATGTTAAAATATGCTGCTACACTATCCATTAACAATAAATTATAAATTGTATTTGGTATTTACCTTAAATGAGGCCTTAATGTAGGTCTATATTATATTTATTGTTAATTTTAAAAATATATTAAGGTTGAATTACTTTATAATAACTTAAGAATCTCATTTTATAAAAATAACAACTAATTTGAATATGTTGTATTTTATAAACATCATTAAATTATGTGGAAATTTATAAATAAGAATAAAAATTAAGTAGATAATTTTCAATATATGATTTTAAAAAAAATTCTACCTAAATTATTTATCAAATCTTCTTTTGTCATTCCAATACCAGTGTCAATGATATGAAGAATATGATTTTCCTTATCAACCTTATCAAATGCAATATAGAGATTGTTAATTAAATTTGAATACCTTAATCATGATTTTGAGATCTTTATTAGTATCTAAAACTGATGAGTCTGTAACACTCAAAAATCTAATTTTATCAAGAGCATCAGCAGCATTTGATATAAGCTCACGAAGAAATATCTAGGAAAAATATTATATTAAAGAGTAAAATTTAATTATAATATAATTTGTTATCTAACATTTTAATATTACTTCTTTGTTTTTATATAGAGAATTTATAATTAATTTCATCATTCTATCCACTTCTGCTTGATACTGAAATTTTTCCATCTTTGATTTTAAAACTTTAGCTTCTTCAGTATTTAAGCCATCCAGAACCAAAGATTCTGGTTCTCTATTTTTGAATACATTATATTATTTATTATATAAATTTACCTTTTAAGTAGGTTATCATCTGTTTTTAAACCATCACTTTGTTGTACCAAATTTTCTGAAATTGGTACTTTTGAATTAGACTTGACGAATACTAAAAAATATGATTTTTATTAATATTTTAGGACTAAATTATACCTTGGAATATGGCAAAATATGCAATCAAAAGTTTCATTAACATCTTTTATGGTTATTAAATGAAAAAGAATATGAATGAACTTAAAATTTCTAATAATGGAACGCGTTGCGTTATCCAATTGAATTACAAAACGTAAGTTTTTTAATTTTATGAATCCTCAAAAAAAAGATGAATTTCTTTGAGGTAACCAGGAATCGTAAAATATCATTGGTAAATACATACCCTTTTTTGGACAGGGAATTAAGATGAGTGAGGTTGCATATTAAAATTAAATATTTATTCTATAATCTTTTTCATACATGTTTGTAATGCCAAAGGGTGGATATTTAAAAAGAATATCGGGCTATTAGTTAAATATTAAGATTTTGTCATAAGAAACGGAATTAGGAAATATTAAGAATAATTTACTACGGAATATTAATACTTCATTAAATCTAATAAACTTTTAAGGGTATAATTCGTAGAAATATTTTGCAAAATTTCGTTTCTAGGTCTAGAAATTTTTAGAGCCCTGAAATTTCTTAATTTATAGGTCCGTGTAGTTGGCGGAACAATGTGAGGATCAATTAACAAAACCCATGCCAATATTTAGAGTCTTAATTGATCTTCAAATCAAACATCAGCGGAATCAATTGTTATAGAGTTATAAGCAAAATAAGGAAGTGCGAAATTTTGAAGCTGGTGGAACGATTTGAGGATCACCTTGTGTAGCCCGTTAATTGATCTTGAAAGCAACGGAATGAACCGGTTATGAGTTATGGGCAAAATAAGAAAGTGTTGGCACTTTGCCAAAACTGAAAATAAAAAGGATCATACTAATAAGGAGTTTACAATGTGTACATTAATAATCTGCAAACCGCATATCGGTATCACTAATCGTAACCGACCTATAACGGTTTTAAAAACATGAAATTAACGGCATTTTTTTTTAATAAGGATCAATTACAGAAATTTATGCCAAAGTGTAGACCATTAATTGTTCCTCTAGAATCTTTAAACCGCATACCAGCGGAATAAACCGTTCGTAAGTTATAGGCAAAATAGAAAGGTTTTAGCATTTTGCCAAAATTTAAAATTCAAGCAATCATTTTTTAGTTAAGGCCAATATTTAGTGTCTTAAATGATCCTCCGAATTCTTCAAACGGAATGTCAAAAAAATTAAAGGAGAGAGATATATCATCAAAATAAAGAAAGTGTTAATTTTGACTGGCGGAACGATTTGAGGATCAATTACAGAAACTATACCATTGTTTATCCCGTTAATTGTTCCTAATTGCTCTTCTATCCGCAAACCAGCGGAATGAACCGTTCATGAGTTATGGGCAAAATAAGAAAGTGTTGGCACTTTGCCAAAACCGAAAATAAAAAAGATCATGATCTGAAACATGGCAATAATATAGTATTAAGTTGAGCGTCTACATGATTGGGAGGGGTAGGAACAGTTTGCATCCTATTTTTTTTGAGGGGATAGGGAGTAAGCTGCTTCAATGGGGGTAGGATAAAAAAAAAATTTTTTTTTTTTGGGGGGGGGGGGGGGGTTATCTATTAAATTTTGGGATGAAATAGGACAAAATTTATTGTTGTAAAAATTAATACTTTTATTATAGTATAATAAAATACAATTCATCGACCAAATCTATATATTGCAAACAATCATACACATTGTTTTCCAAATAAACTATCCAGTTTAGATATTTCAGCAAGCTCATAATGGCATAATAATTAATTCATTGTAATAAATTCTTTATATTCACAAAATATCGATAGTTGGTAGTAGAGATAGATTAATTTAAGTTATCTTTTATAAATTTTTCGAAAAGAGTATCAAGAGTATCAATAAATAAATAGGTGAAAATAATGATCTAGAGACACCGCCGCCGAAGGCGGTGGAGATTTTTTAGAGGGGTAGGCAAAGGTTTTTGAAGGGGGTTCATGTAGACGCTGATTAAGAACTACTTTTCTTAAATGCAACAAATATTAAAAGAAGTCAATAGCTTATCACCACGAACTCAATTATGAGGTAAACGACGGTTTTGTGAAAGATGTTGATGAATTGTTATTAGGTGTCAATCATTTATTATGTGAGTTTCGATCGAATGTCGTCAATTTTTGCCATGAACGCGTAAACTTGCAATTCAAATTTTTACCATACATGTATAGATTGACCTTAAGGTAGTTAAATAGTTTTATAAAATCGGAGAAATTAATTTTTTTTTAGAAGAATTTTAAACTTTAGAATGAGGCCAAATGGCCACGACTTTTAAGAAAATGGAAATATTTTAAAATAAGAATGCACACTATATTTTGATTTTAGAATCATTATATATAATTTTGTAGTTTTAAATACTTTAATGGATGGCAATCGATAAGCGTAAAAATAGGTCATTTTTATAATTTTTGACCCTTGATATATGCAAAAGAGCTAGGTTGTTAAAATATACACTGCGTTAGTTATGTAAATTCAGTTTATATATAAATTTTTAAACAGATTTCAAGAGTTCTTGCGAAAATCATGTTTCTTTATTGATATGGATTAACCCTATAAATTAATGAAATTTAAATTAACGATTAGCAATTGACCAATATGATCTATAAGTGTTAACTTTTACTTTTAATTTCATTGTAAATATGGATATTTGATGATTATCTATAATTTTATGGGTGGCTATGTGCCCATATCTTAAAAAGTCCGAATTTTTATAAAATTAACAACTAAATTCGGTAATGTTAGACAGCTACCAGCGTCTACATGACAGGATTTTCACTGGATGCAAACCTCCTTCAAAAACCTTAGCCTACCTCCCTAAAAAAATCCCTGCAGCCTTCGGCGGCGGTGTCTCTATATCATTATTTTCACCTATTTATTTATTGATACTCTTTTCAAAGAATTTATAAAGAATAACTTAAATTAATCTATCTCTACTACCAACTCTCGATATTTTGTGAATATATAGAATTTCTTTTTTAGATAATAAATTAAATTAAAACCTCCATTATTTACAATGAATTAATTATTATGCCATTATGAGCTTGCTGAAATATCTAAACCTTTTAAATAGGATAGTTTATTTGGAAAACAATGTGTATGATTGTTTGCATATAGATTTGGTCGATGAATTGTATTATAATAATACTATAATAAAGTATTAATTTTTACAGCAATAAATTTTGTCCTATTTCATCTCAAAATTTAATAGATAACCCCCCAAAAAATTTATCCTACCCCCATTAAAGCAGCTTACCCCCTAAAAAAAATAGGATGCAAACTGTTCCTACCCCTCCCGCTCATGTGGATGCTGGCAGCTACAAATAAAGTCGTTTGTCAATAACCTTCGTTGATATTTGCAGATTTATGAGATTTTACAAAATTATTTTTGGTGCACCATGATCTATCTACCCATTCTAAACTAATTTTGTGACGAAGGTAAAAATGTTCCTTAGGATAGCCAGAGTTCTTACAAAATTGTAATGAAAAATTTTAAAAAAAAAGTTTGTCAATAATATTTTCTTACGAATATTTTTAAGAATGCGTTTTTGAATAAGATTACTCAGAGGCAGGGATGTGAACCCTTCGACAAAAAAAAAGGTCCGGGTTCGGGTCCGGTAATAAATTTAAAAAGGACCCGGGTCCAGGGTTCGGGTTCAGAGGAAACATAAAAATAATGACTCAAAATAAGACTTTTTTTTATTCATTTTTTATTATACTTCAATATATACACATTTATAATTTGAAATGAGATAATTTATATTTTAAATATTTTATTCAATCGCACAATCATAATATCTTCTAAAATATCATCCTTCTGATTTCCACGTAAATTAGTCAACGATGAAAATCCACGTTCTACGCTTACCTAAAATAGATAGTCATTTTTATAATACATAAATTATTGTACTTGTGTCGCCGGTACAGCCATGACGATTCTAGAAAAGGTATATAATTCTGGATATATTATAGAATTTTCCTCCCATAATTTTAAAATGTTTGCATCTCTATTTATCATAACTTCCGAGAACTTTTCTATTAAAGATACAATAGATATTTTTTGCTCCTTTCTATCAGATGATAATTTAATTTTTTTTTCTCTATCTAATAGTAAAATTTCCAGATCATCAATATCGTTATCATTATCATTGTTATCGCTACAACCAGTAGATATTGTTGTAACCACCAATGTATTTTAAATAATAGAGTTTTGGGTATGCCATAAATCTTCAAGATGGTCTATAGCCATTTGTTTTTGCTCACTACTTAATAAAACCTGATATCGCGGGTCTAAATATATCGAAGCATCAACAACACTATTTTGTAAATATTGTTGCTCTCTTATTTTAATATTTTCTAATGCTTTATTTGAAAAAGAACTTGTTAATCTCCCTAACTCTAATCGACATCTTAACCATATACCATAAAAATCCGATAAACATAATTGTTCAGCTTGCACTCTTAATGTTGTTATTTTTAAAGGAACCAGCACACTAGTAAGCTCTTTTACTTGATTCCAATCATCTTCTGAAAAAATGATTTCACATGCTCCTATGATAAAATCATTACAGAAATCTTTCAAACTTAATAATCGCTCTAGCATCATACACATAGAGGACCAACGTGTTGTGCAATCTAAAATTGCCATTTACCTTTTCATGGATTTTAATATTCTAACAATTGTGGGAGTATTTAAATATTTTACAACATCCCTTGCTTTATCAATTATAGTTTTAAAGTGACTATTTTTTAGGGCGATTCCACGAAAAAAATTAATAAAATTTATAAAAATTTTACATTATTTTTTAAAAATTAATAAAATTATAAAAATTTTATATTATTTTTTTAAAAATTAATAAAATTATAGAAATTTTATATTATTTTTTAAAAATTATATTTTTACATTAATTAAAAAAAAAAATTTTAAGTTAAAAATTTTTAACACCCTGAACTTGGACCCTCCACTTTTTAAAAGGGTCCAGGTCCGGATCCGGGTTCAGCCAAAATACGAGGGTCCAGGAGGGTTCAGGGTCCGGGTCCAGGTCCGGGTTCACATCCCTGCTCAGAGGTAATAGTCTCACAAGTCCCCCGGGGCGAGGAAATGTCCTAGTTAAATGTTAGCA